AAACAACTAAACAAGCATTACCCAAACCAAAACAAATTGCAGCCAAATTTGAGCTCCCATTGCCACATACGGACATACAATTGCTGAGGATTCTCTTGAGTCTCACAACCTCATTTTAAAGGTAGGTCATCCTCAAAAAGAGTTTGAGGGTGGGTAACTCTAACAATAAACCTTAAATATATCTTTAATTTTTTATATATTACATTTTAATCTGAAACTTAAATAATAATTAAATATAAGTACTAAACCTTTATATGTAAATAATATAACACACTAATAATGTAAAATAAGATATCTATTATTCATATATGTGTACTTTATTTTCACCAAGTAAGCAAATTTTTAATTTCTTTCAAAAATATATCAACCAGAGGAAAAGTTACAAAATGGTTCAGTTAATATTACACAACATTTCTATTTACATGATATTATTTTATATTAATAATTATGGTTTAGTTTTTGAGATATATATATATATATATATATATATATAAAGATATACTTGAATTTTAAATGAAATATGATTATAAATCTTAAATTGATACAACAATTAATATTAGTGAACTGTATGTAAATTACGTAATTATAAGGATTAAAATAAGACATAAATATCTTTTTAGAGGATTTGAATAGTAAATATCAAATTGAAAGTTTTACTATTCAAAATCTCAAAATTTGTAGGTTTGTCAAAAAGCCAAAAACCTAATAGTTTGAGAGTTTGTTGGAGAGGATATAAAAGCAATACGAGAAACTCCACGATGCATATTGTTTTTTCTTAAAGAACATCAGAAAACAGAGCAAAGGAGTCCAAAGCTGAGTTGATTGATATTTACAGTTTAACAAATGCCGAACTCGCGTTTATCATTCCTTTGATTTCGTAATAATGGTATTTTGACCTTTTCACACATATTAAAAATGATTAAAAATATTTATTTTCTTATTAATTATATATATTTAATAAATAGTAGTCAAAAACAAATCAAATTAATTATAAGGACAATGCTTTTTGTAGTTAACATTAAAATGAAAATAAAAATAAATTGCACTAGAATTCTAAATGACATTTTTGTATAACAAAAAAAAGTATCAAACTGATACAATGTATGAAACAGAAAGAGACATTTTAAGTAACTGAGACTATGCATGCTTTCAAATGGCCAGAGCCGTTAAATTAAATTTATATTACGATTGTTTTTTGCTTAAACTTTGGTATTATATTATGATTGTTCTGAATGAATTTAATTATTATTTTCTAAATGAAATTTCATTTAGGTTTATATTGTTTGACATAAAAAGTAAAAAAAGTTAAACGAAAGAGTTAAAAGCATCTCCAACCCTACTCCAAAACCCACTCCAAACTCCATTTTGCAGTAAAATCATCTCTAACCCTATTCTAAAACTCACTCCAAAATGGAGCAACAAACATGATTACTCCAAACATGGAGTAAACCAACTCATTACTCCAAAATGGAGTTGAACTTTTTTATTTATCAAATAGTCCTCCACATTTATATATGTTTCATTTTTAATAAAATATTATTATAAATAAGTACTATATATATTATAAAATTTACTGTTATATTTCTTAATTATATAAATAGCCTCATTTTTAATAAAATATTATTATAGATAAGTATANCATTTATATATGTTTCATTTTTAATAAAATATTATTATAAATAAGTACTATATATATTATAAAATTTACTGTTATATTTCTTAATTATATAAATAGCCTCATTTTTAATAAAATATTATTATAGATAAGTATATTAATATTATTTTACTATATATTAGAAAATTTACTGTTAATATTTCTTAATTATATAAATAGCCTTGTCTTTAATAAAAATATTATTATAAATAAGTATATTAATATTATTTTACTATATATATTTTAAAATTTACTGTTAATATTTTTAATTATATAAATAACCATCTGATGAACTCTTTTATACAACATAATATATATAATATAAAACATAAAAGATCATACATATAGAAAATGAAAGATAAGCACCATACAAAAAAAAATAACATAAAATAAAAATTACAACAAATATAATTGCTTAATAATCCGATAAATCATTTTCGGATCCATTAAAATTATTAAAATAATCCGATAAAATATTATTAAATTCTTACATAACATGATAATAGAAGATGATTGTGATCTCGAGGTGCCAATTGAAGTTGAAAAAGAAGTCATGTCAAGAAAAATTGAAATTGAAGAAAACAATAATGTGAAGTTCCAAAAGTTTCTTTCCCATTTCAGAGAAATCGAAGATAAAGAAGCTCATTTTTTACTTCGAAATGCATTAGTTGATCATTTGTGGGAAAATTATTATAATTCTAATGAATAATTTAGAATTGATGTATTATTGTGTTTAAGCTATATAATGTAATTTTTAATGTATTAAATGTATTCTTTTAAAACCTTGTTGAGTAGTTTTATTTATATAATAAAAAATTAAATGTGATTAATATTGTATTTTATAGAAATGCTATAAATTTAAAATGGATTGTTTTGCAAATAGTATAAACGAAAGGTGATATTCCTAATTTTGAAATAAATATAATATTAAAAATATTCTTTTGGAGTAGAAAATGGAGTAATACATTGGAGTAAAACTCAACTGCATTTTGGAGTTACTCCATTTTAGAGTAGAAAATGGAGTAATACATTGGAGATGCTCTAAGTGTATGTGCGCTCGCTTTTAAGTTAAAAAAAACTAGGATAAAACATGCGTTTTATACAGGGGAAATGTATGTAACTAAAATATAAAATTTTAATTAAAATATAAAATTTTAGTATTGAAAAATTAAAATTTACATATAATTATTTTTATATGTATTTGAAATTTTGGAATTTTTATACGATTATCTATACATAAGATAAAAAAAATTGTAATTAGAACTGTAGATCAAAACTTAGAGTTTAATGGGTTCGGTTCATATATCTTTGTAATTTTCCGCGTTCGAATTATGAAAAATAAACTGAGTGTCATATGGCTTAACTGATAGAGCATTATAAAGTTCCTTAATGCTTTCCTAAGAAGGAGTTGGTAGAATATTTTCATTTATAATATATAAAGTTTCAAAACTAATTTAATATAATTTATTTATTTGTCTAATAATATCAGAAAGTTATATTTAAAAAAATAAATAAATAAATAAATAAATTTATAAAAAATTAAGTTGAATTTTAAATTATAATTATGTTTAAAAAATATTATTTCTTCATACGATATGAGATATATATATATATATACTAGGATTGACCCGGGCTACGCCCGAATTTTTGTGTTAATTTTAGTTTATATACTTTGTGTGTCAAGTTAAAAAAAAAATTGTATGTATATTTTTAATATATAAATATTATAACCTAGTATAAAATATAAGTAGTTAGACAACTGTAATATTATTTTCAATCATTTATTTTTTTCTGTTTTATGAATTTCAAAAAAAAAAATATCTAAATTTCTGATATTTTTGTTATTGGAAATTATATAGTAGGTGATAACCAAAGTTAGTTATGTGTTTATTTGGTTGGACTGTAGAAATATTTCAATTCACTTATTTTTTTCTTATAAATTTTATTTCCAATTATTCTCTCATAATTTAATCGGCCCTCGCGGTCAAAGATACAATCCTTTTGAAATAATTTTTTTTCTTTAAACACCATTTTAAGAATTTTAATATTTTTCTGCATTAAAAAAATTACAACCACATCACTAAAATCTACAAACTAAATTTTTACAGCAAAATTTCTGCATTTACAATTCTTACTTAAATAAGTTTTGATGTAAAACTTTGTTAAATGTAAACAAAAGAAAATAAAAGTGCAAATTATTTGATGCAAATATTAAAAAATATGATCTGAACTAAATTTTTAGGGGTTAGTGATGGCATATGAAAAGATTGATAATCAATCCAGTTCCATATATAAGATCTTTGTTCCAAATAAACTTTTATCTGTTCACAAAGCATACCCAAGATTTGAGCCCACATTCAAACATTAAATACATATTCCTAGGTTACTTTCTTTTAGTTACTTTCTTTTGTATGCAATTTTTATATGTTCTTTGCCCTTGTATTTGGATGTTTTGGTTGTTGCTATATATTTTGCGACTGTTTCCAAGTTGGTGTCTTTTTTAAAGGTTACATTGAAATACCAATACTACATATTCCTAGGTGTGAAGTGCATTATAGCTTGTGCTGTGTTGGTGTTGCTCTTTATAGTTTTTTTTTTCCGTATCATTGGTCTTTAATATTTGTTGTGTTAAAGTCCTAATACTTTTATGGGTTGAAAATTTAGGGGTGTCAAAATATGCATGTATATCTCGCCGATTACTAATTTTGTTTAATAATAAATAATGATCTATTATTAAAAAAGGTTCTTTTGAAGTATTTTTTATTATTTGCTGGGAAAAAACTCTTGCACGTTAGTGAAATATAGAGAAAGCACATCATTTCATCCATGCATTTAGATTCAAATGAAACGTAATCTGACAAAATTACAATGGCTGATGACTCTTTCAAGAGTAGTTTGTTTCCAACCATTTTCCTGTTCTTGGAAGCATCTTTCACACAAATCTAGCATGTAATATAGACAAATGTATTAGTTAATGAATAAAAATGAAAAACTGACATATTAAGTGTGGTAAAACTAAATTGCATCAAGTAAGAAGTAGCAAAAGAAAAAGAATATAAACTTGGGGTCAAGATGGTTGCAAACATAATTCAAGTAGACAGTCGTGTCATGTTTTATATCTTAACATTGACACCATTTGTTTAGGATGCAATAAAAATAATGAATACAAATACTAAAAATTCGAGCTTCTAAGATTTTATATTGTGACTTGAGCTTATTGAAAAGAATGTTACTATTATTAACAGTATATTTCTTATATAGCAATAACAATATGAAAAAACAAAAATTTCAATGTCAAAAAAAGATATAATGGTGTAGAGGACCTTGATATAAACATATTGCTTATTTAACTGGCTAACTTTCTAAATTTCATATCCAACCTATACTAAGCTGTCCAAAATCGACCCTTAGTATGATTCAAAGATTTATAAATAGTTTTTGTTAAAGTCAATAATAATACAAAAAAATTAAGAGAATGTGTGTAGCTTGAACACAATAAACTATGAATTTAGGTAGAGATACTAAATAAAAACCAGAGATGCTTTGTTCCTTCTCTTTTTATAGCCGCCTCAATATGAATCTTAACAGACACTTTGATCGCCCTTCTGTGAATACGACATCACAAATACCTTCTAATTGCCTCTGATCTCCATGCTCTTAGATAAATCATTAATGCAGTATTGGCTTCCTTCCTCGTTAAAAATACCAACCTGCATCACATGGCTCTGATTTTTACCCTTTGATAAGGCTTCCAGCTTTTTGTTGTTCAAAAATAAAAGAGTATAAAATGGTTACCTAGTTAGTGCTTCAGTTAACTGCTGTACTTGAGTGTAAAGGATACACAATTTTACCAAGAGAATTGGTGCAAAAGTAAAATAGATAGAGATGTAATCATCAATGTTCTTCACCACACCACAAAGCTCCAGATCATCAAACTTCTCGTTAGTGTTAAAGTACCTAATAACACTCAGACCTTGAGCCACATAATGCCCCCACTATCTAAAAACAGATAAACAGAAGAAAAAAATATCTTTGTTTGCATCAAAAACACATTGTCGTTAAACCTAAACAATCCAAGATCTAAATTTTCTATGTCAAAATAGCCACAACATTAAAACTTTACTAACAATCAAGCAAGATCCGTAAGATGAAGAAGACACTTTAAATCCATAGACAAACCAAAAGTCCACAATCCGTAATCCAATTTTCATCATAAGATGAAGAAGAGAGGGTGACCATGATGAGCAAGATCTCGAGGGGAGGAAGGAGATCGAGGTCAGACTGAAATGTGGCGAGACGGTCGAGACGGTGTTACATAAAATCCGCTAGCAGTGAACAGAGAACAGCGAGACGATTGACATTGACATGGCTGGCATGAGCGTTGACTGAAACACAAGAGAAAAAAGTGTAATCAACAATCACAACAAATATAAAGGTCTTCAACAAATTATGAAAAAAAGATCAAACCTCTGGTAGTTGATTTGTACAGAAGGGGAAGAGTTGCACAGAGGAAGAAGGGGGCTGTTTGAGCGGAACCAGGGCGAGTTTGTACATCAGAGGTTTCTGACTCCACGCCACCCTAGCCGCCGCCCAAGACCATCTACGTAGTATTGATATGCCGATCACCATTGACCACGTCGCCAGTGTTCCCTTCAATCTCTTTAATGCTTTTTAATATCCGCTTGAGTTCCTCCCTCATCAGACCTATCCCAAGATGAACTTGCCTTTGGTGGCACCGCTTTGATTAACAAATGCTTGGAGCGTTAGCAGGCCCGGCTCAAACCTGTTAATGGCCTAGTGCTAAAAAAATTCTGGGGATTTATCATTACAGTTAGAAATTTCTAAAAATTTTGGTTCCTTTAACAATTTTTTTTTGTTGAAATTAGGGCCTTAAAATTGACTATTAGTTTTTGGAATAATTGTTGGGCCATGTGCTTTTGCTCTATGGGCACTACCCTAGAGCCGGGCATGAGCGTTAGTTCGCCATTAAACTGCGTATTTTTTTTTTCGATTCATCATGCAACGGTTCAGAGGTGAAGAAATAGAGATGAAACGACACCAAGACATATCGATCCATGAAGCTTCATCAGAATTTGTTTCAAATAACTCTCCATAAACTCCATTGTCGGAGATGAAAGAGATCTCAAAGAACATGCTGATCCCTAAAAACCAGTGGCAGCTTCTCGTGGAAAAGGTAAAGTCGAGAAATGGGGACAAGCTTTTGTTTTTGTTTCTAGACCAAATTATGTTCAAAGCCCACAAATATTAAGTCATGGAAACCCATTAATTATCAGTATAAATGGAAACCAACAAAACTTATTTAGAGATGAGACACATGTCACTCTATCCTTTCTTGATTTAATGGTGTGACAGCATAAAACTAGATAAAACTCTACTTTATATAATAAGATTCATCATGCAACGGTTCAGAGATGAAGAAATAGATATGAAACGACACCAAGACATATCGATCCATGAAGCTTCATCAGAATTTGTTTCAAATAACTCTCCATAAACTCCATTGTCGGAGATGAAAGAGAGGTCGCCGAACACGCTGAACCCTAAAAACCAATGGCAGCTTCTCGTGGAAAAGGCAAAGTCGAGAAACGGGGTTAAGCTTTTGTTTTTGTTTCTAGACCAAATTATGTTCAAAGCCCACAAATATTAAGTCATGGAAGCCTATTAATTATCAGTATAAACGGAAACCAGCAAAAGTTATCTAGAGATGAGACACATGTTACTCTCTCATTTCTTGATTTAATGACATGGCAGCATAAAAATAGAGAAAACTCTACTTTATATAATAAGATATTAACATAAACACCTATTAAAAAGATATTTATTCATATAATTTTACAATCATTGTAACTTATTATAGAAAAAAAATTTAGACCCTGATCACTAAAGTTTATGTGAGATTTTTAACAGTTTTAGTAATTTATACTCATTTTTAAAATTTCAAAATACAACATATATAAAAAATCTAAATATTTTTTATATGATTAGTGTAGTTGTGTAATTTATTTTAATAGTAAAAAAGTAAAAACTGATATAAAGGATACATATTGTTAACACATATTTATTATTTAAAATCATTAATAGTCATATATATATCTTAATCACATTAGGTAATTCCGTTAGTTTTATTTAAGGAAAGAATATATAGGAGATTTAGTTTGATATGTTATTTAGTTTAATATGTCTTATATGAGACCAACGGATCTTGTTTTAAAACTATGATTTATTTAAGGTGCTTTAAAATTCTTCTAAAAAAAATTTCGAAAACATAGAAAACTGTCACATATGATAAAGCTTTTTTAATTAGTACAAATCTAAAGTTATAATTTTTTAAATTATCCTCATTTAATATGTAGGAGATGGAGCTTTGGTGGTTTGAAAGGGGATTATGAACAAAGGGTTTTTTTTTTCTTTGAGAAAAGAATGATGAACAAAGGTTGCCATGTAATGATAAATATATTAGATAATAATTTATTTTGACAATGCCAAATGGCAGCATCAGTTACTAAAAGCCAGTAGGATGAATATATGGGTTTATGATGGCGATACTTTCACAAGTTGAAAATTTATGTTTAGATATTGGCGAGTCAAAACTAAAAAAAAAAGTCAGGTAACAAAAAATATCTAGTGGCTTATGTTGGTATTCTAGATATGTCACAAAAAAAAAAAGTTACCTTGATGATCTTAATAGATTCCAGTTCAGGATATGGACTTACTCAAAGGTTTTTCTTTTCTTTAGTAACCTCAAAATTTAGGACCGAAATCCATACATTTCCGTGAATCCGGGATAAGAAGCTTGATAATATTATGAAATTGCATAAGTTATCCTTACCAAACGAAAAAATTGCATAAAAAAATCATGAAATTGGTAAAAATTTGCAATTTGAACCTTGAGATTTAACTGATTCCTATAATATTATTTGAGAAGTCAGTTTTTTAGGTGTCGCTCTCACGTTAACTCTCACGCTGGTTGATTACTATGATACCCCTAATGAATTAAAGTTATAGATGAATATTATTATTTCTTTTTAAAAATATTCCAAATAATAATATAAAATAAAAAGGAAATATTTATAAAATTTACAAAACTATTTTAAAACAAAAAATAAGTATATATATAATATAGGTTCATAAAAATGGAAAGTTTACAAAATAGTAATATTTAATTTAAATATATTTTTAAATAACATAAATTATACTTTTTAAGTAATAAAATACTTTATATCTATATCTTCTTAGATGAAAAAATATTTGTATATAATGTGTTTTCATAAAAAAAGTTCATACAAATAATCTTGATATTAGAAAAAGAAATATTTTTTTCTTTAAAAAAATAATTTAAACAATAAAATATATATTTTCAAAGTAATTATTTTATATATCTATCTATTTATTAGATGATTACATAAAATAATTAAGTAACATAAACTGATATATGTATAATTGACAAAAATAATTTTAATTAGTATTATGGAAATATTTTTTTAGTATATTTATTTGATTATCATATCTTACAATTATAGAAAAAATATAAATGATATTTTACTTATATAATATAATTCTGAAAAACAATCAAATTTTTACTGCATATTTTAAGAGATGTTAAAAACAAAACTAAAAATAAATTTAATAATAAACATATTTTGATCAAATAACTACAATTCTTATAAAATATCATAACATTATAATTTAATGAGGTAGATATATTATATTTTAATAGTTAAAATTATATGTTTTCTTAATAACTCTTTTGATGTTTAATTTTCTGTTTTTATGTTTGTGGATTTAATATAACCATAATCAAAATACTTAAGAAAATCAGAATTCCTTATTTTTAAAATTCTTTAAAATCAATTTCAGTTTACCATCCAATCAATGTAAGGCATAAATTATATAGACTTTATAAAACATTTTAATTATTGTAAATATTGATATGTGTTCATAAGCTTCCAAAATTTTATTATTACTTATGTATGTAATTTAGAATCAGACACTTTAGTTTTTATTTTTTACGTTATAAGCACAAAAATTCTTAAAATACATAATATTATTAAGATATACTTATATATTTCTAAGATAACAAGCAACATAAATGTAAATAAAACAATTAATCAAAAATTAGAATAAAAAAAATTATAGTTGAATTCAATATATATATATATATATATCCAACTGACTAAATATAATATATCTAAAACTATATATAACTAAAATAATATAATATTATTAATATAAATTATACAGACAAACTATAAATTAATATAAAATTTAAAGTAAATATCAATCATCTATTATAATATATTTATTTTATAAATGTTTATGTCCGTGCATGAGCACGGGAAAATCACCTAGTAACACTTTAAACAATGAAACTTGTAACAATAACATATTAAACATTGAACTAACTTACTTGTTGCACACGTCAAAATTATGACCGGTTACTGTTCATTAGCAGGTAAAAAACGATGACGTGACGGTTTATTAAAAAAAGAATTATTTAAAATAAATAAAATTAGATAAAAAACAATTTAAATTCTAAAATTGATATAAATTCAGGAAAAATAAAGAAAATCCATAAATTTAAAAATAAAAGTAAATTTACAAATTCAAAAGTTTATAATAAAAATTAAAAAATAGTAAAAATCGATTAAAACTAAAAAATAGTAAAAAAATAAATTAAAAAGTGTAAAAATCAATAAAATTTAGAAAATGAGAAATTTATAAAAAACTGGAAAACAAAATTTCTAATTTCAAAAATTAAAATTTGAAAATGAAAATACTTGAGCCAAACCTCTTTGATGTTTAGGTAGACATATAAACGTTCGAATGTCCGGGTTCAGATCCTTCAGATCATAAAGATTAGGGTTCAAAACTTTTGCCAACTTCATGGGTTTTGCTAGTTTTACCACTTTCATGGTTTTGTTTTTCCAGATTTTTTTTCTTAATTTTTATCAATTTGTATATTTTATTTTTGTTGTTATTTTATTTTGAATTTATAAATATATTTTTGATCTTTATTAATCTGAATTTTCAGTATTTTGTTTTTTAATTTTTAATTTTCCTGATTTTATTTATTTTTCCTAATTTTTATCGATCTTTTGAATTTAGTTTTTGAATTCTTTTTTTGTTGTCAATTTTTTTGTAATTTCCTATTTTCTAATTTTATCAGTTTTACACTTTTTAATCTCTATTTTTTTGTTTTTATTATTTTTACTATTTTCTTAGTTTTAATAATTTTTTACTATACAATTTATTTTCATTATAAACTTTTAAATTTATAAGTTTATTTTTATTTTTTTAATTTCCGAATTTTCTTTATTTTTTCCTGAACTTATATCAGTTTTTAGAATTTATATTGATTTTTATCTATTTTTTTGTTTTTATTAATTATTTTTTTTGTATTTTTAGTTAAACTGCCATGTCACCGTTTTTTACCTGCTAATGCACAGTAACCGGTCACAATTTTGACTTGTGCAACAAGTAAGTTAGTTTGATGTTTAATATGTTATTATTACAAGTTTTATTGTTTAAAGTGTTAGCACTTGAGTCAAGTGCAAACTTTTGCCAACTTTAATGTTTTTGATGCCATTTTTCCCTTTCCAAACAGTTGAAACTTAAGTACAACAACATCAATCCTTGCACTAACCCCTAGGCTATCATAGTTTTGGTAAAATAACTCTGGCCAATAGATAGGAACATTTAGACAGCTAGAGGAAACGGGCATGCAAGAGTAAATGAATTTGCAAATGGATAGGAA